ATATTTTCATAAACATAATTTCATACTCTCAATTCCAAACACATGCATGTCACGGAGATCTTCAATTTATTAGAAATTCAGAACTAAAGAACTAAAATAAAACCTCAATCAATCGGGTATGCACACGCATATGATCATTCCAACCAACCATGATTTTAAATGCAAGTTTAATAATATTCCACTCACACTTTCTCCTTTGCTTTTAACTCAAGTGCTCAGTCCTCCTATCTTCTTCACCTATTTGATCCAAAATTATTATAGGAATTAAGATCTAAACAAAGAGAAGATGAAAGATCGATTAAAAACGATAAAGGATTGAAAATGCATGCGTAACCTTATTCCTTTACCCTAAAATTTCTCTGAAATTTCTTCTCTTACAAGCACCACTCGGCTCTCCTCTATTTTAACTCAAATGTTATTTTTCTCTCTTTCAATGTGCATAGGAGAATGAATGTGAAATGAGAAAGACAAAAAGAATAAAACAAGCTTCTCCTCACACTTTATTTTTTTGTTTCTCTCGGCTATCTCTTTCTCCACTCCACTATTCCTCATCTCAATTTAATAAAATTTCACAACCATCAATGGAAAAACAATGTGCCAAAAGCGTGGGCTAATTCTCCAAAAGAAATTGCCTTTAATCCATCTTGCAGTGGCCAATTATGCATGCATCCCTTAGTCTTTGATTCTTACATCTTGCACCCTAAAATCCTTTAAATAAAGTTAAGTTTTATCATGATCTCACCCCTGGAGAATTATGCATGTACCCTTGAATGACACAATATTAAAAAGACCCCTCATCTTTAATCAATTTCATAATGTTGTTGAAAGATCTTCACACTTCCAATTTCACACAAGTGCTCTTGCCAAACTACGTAATAAACCCACCATGCCTTATTTCTTACTAAAACATCCCTAAAAAGTTTCAATTCTTACATATTACCCCTTAAATTCACATAAATAAAATTAAATAAAACCCACAAAGAAAATACGGAGTATTACAGTCCATGTCGATGAACTTCTGACGGGTTCTGAATGAGCATTCCAACGATATCTTATAGGCCCCGTAACTCTTCCCGAATAAAAAGTTATGGGCATCTGAAAGGGGCACTCTTATTTAAGCCCTTTGGGCTTTACGCACGGAGTTATGACATTTAGCCCGCTCCATGAATTCATCCGTCAGAAGTTCTATGTTAGTCCACTTTGACTGACTTCTGACGGACTCTGAATGAGAGTTTTGACGTTCAGCCTGCTCCATGAATTCATCCGTTAGACAATCTACATTAATCCATGTTGATGAACTTTTGATGGGCTCTGAATGAGCTTTCCAACAACATCTTATATTTGTCTCCCGGATGAAAAGTTATGGCCGTCTAAATGGGGCATGCTCATTTAAGCATTTTGGGCTTGGCGCATGGAGTTCTGACATTCAGGCCGCTCCATGAATTCATCCGTCAAACATTCTACATTAGTCCAGATCGACGGGCTCTGAATGAGATTTCTAACGGTATCTAACAGGCCCCGTAACTCTTCCCGAATTAAAAGCTATGGTCTTCTGAATGGGACATGCTCTTTTAAGCCCTTTTAAGTTCTTTGGGCTTTACATAAAGAGTTTTGATGTTTAGCCCGCTCCATGAATTCATCCGCCAGACTTTTTACATTAGTCCAAGTTGATGGACTTTTGACGTCCTCTAAATGAGCTTTCCAACGGTATCTTACAGTCCTCGGAACTCTTCCCGGATGAAAAGTTATGGCCGTCTGAATGGGACATGCTCAATTAAGCCCTTTGGGCTTTACGCGCGGAGTTCTGACGTTCAGCCTGCTCCATGTATTCATCTGCCAGATGTTCTACATTAGTTCATGTCAATGAACTTTTGACGGGCTCTTAATAAGCTTTCCAACGATATCTTACAAGCGCCATAACTCTTCCCGGATGAAAAGTTATGACCGTCTGAATGGGGCATGCTGATTTAAGCCATTTGGTCTTTATGCACAGAGTTCTGATGTTCAGTCCACTCCATGAATTCATCCGTCAAACATTCTGCATAATTGATGTTGACAGACATCTGACGGGCTTTGAATGAGCTTTCCAATGGTATCTTACAAGCGCCGTAACTCTTCCCGGATGAAAAGTTATGGCCGTCTGAATAGGGCATGCTCATTTAAGCCCTTTGTGCTTTACGTACGGAGTTCTGACATTCAGCCCGCTCCATGAATTCATCTGTCAGACATTCTACAATAGTCTGCGTTGATGGACCTCTGACGGACTCTGAATGAGCTTTCCAATGGTATCTTACAGGCCTTGTAACTCTTCCCAGATGAAAATTTTTGGCCGTATGAATGGGACATGCGCATTTAAGCCCTTTGGGCTTTGCACATGGAGTTCTGGCATTTAGCCTACTCCACGAATTCATCCGTAACACATTCTACATTAGTCCACATCGACGGGCTCTGAATGAGATTTCCAACGGTATCTAACAGGCCTCATAACTCTTCCCGGATGAAAAGTTATGGTCGTTTGAATTGGACAAGCTCATTTAAGCCTTTAGTGGTTTACGCACGGAGTTCTGACTTTCAGCCCGCTCCATGAATTCATCCACCAGATATTCTACGTCAATCCAGGTTGATGGACTTCTAACGGGCTCTAAATGAGATTTCCAAACGGTATCTTACAGGACTCGTATCCTATATGAAAAGTTATGGGGGTCTAAATGAGGCACGCTCATTTAAGCCCTTTGGGCTTTACACAGAGTTCTGACATTCAGCTCGCTCCATGAATTCATCCGTCAGAAGTTCTACGTTAGTCCACGTCGACTGACTTCTGACGGACTCTGAATGAGAGTTCTGATGTTCAGCCCGCTCCATGAATTCATCTGTCAGACAATCTTATATTTGTCGTAACTCTTTCCGGATGAAAAGTTATGGTCGTCTGAATGAGGCATGCTCATTTAAGCCCTTTGGGCTTGACGCACAGAGTTTTGACGTTTAGGCTGCTCCATGAATTCATCTGTCAGATATTCTACATTAGTCCAGATCGACGAGCTCTAAATGAGATTTCCACCGGTATCTAGCAGGCCCCATAACTCTTCCCGAATTAAAAGTTATGCTCGTCTAAATGGGACATGCTCATTTAAGCCCTTTGGACTTTACGCACAGAGTTCTGACGTTCAGCCTGCTCCATGAATTCATCTGTCAGACTTTCTATGTTAGTAAAAGTTGATGGATTTCTAACGGGCTCTAAATGAGCTTTCCAACGGTATCTTACAGGCCCCGTAACTCTTCCTGGATGAAAAGTTATGGCCGTCTGAATGGGACATGCTCATTTAAGCCCTTTGCGCTTTACGCACGGAGTTCTGACGTTCAGCCTGCTCCATGCATTCATCTTCTAGACACTCTACATTAGTCCATGTTAATGAATGTTTGACGGGCTCTGAATGAGCTTTCCAACGGTATCTTACAGTCCCCGTAACTCTTTTCGGATGAAAAGTTATGACCATCTGAATAGGGCATGCTTATTTAACTCCTTTGGGCTTTACGCACGGAGTTCTGATTTACAGTCCGCTCCATGAATTCATCCGTTAGACATTCTACATAATCCATGTTGACAGACTTCTGACAGACTCTGAATGAGCTTTCCAACGGCATCTTACAGGCGCCGTAACTCTTCCTTGATGAAAAGTTATGGCCGCCTGAATAGGGCATGCTCATTTAAGCCCTTTGGGCTTTACGCATGGAGTTCTGAAGTTTAACCCACTCCATGAATTCATTTGTCAGACATTCTACATTAGTTTGCGTCAACGGCCTCTGAATGAGATTTCTAACGGTATCTTACAGGCCCCGCAACTCTTTCCGGATGAAAAGTTATGGTCGTCTGAATGGGGCATGCTCATTTAAGCCCTTTGGGCTTTATGTGCGAAGTTCTGACGTTTTGCCCGCTTCATGTATTCATCTACCAGAAGTTCTACGTTAGTCCACGTCAACGAACTTCTGACGGGCTCTTAATGAGCTTTCCGACGGTATCTTACAAGTGCCATAACTCTTCCCGGAAGAAAAGTTATGGCCGTCTGAATGGGACTCTATCATTTTCCTATACTCCTGTTAGTAGAACTACAAGTAGAAGAGATATACTAAAACTTTATAACAAAATAAATAATAAACTTAAAAACGAATTTCAAAATTTTAGGAATATATCTATTGCACTTACATCAGACATATGGGCTTATAGATCAAAAATCGATTTTTTAATTGTCACAGTACATTTCTTAGATCATAATTAGGGTTTACAACAAAAATTGATAGGTTTTAAACCATTATATGAAAAACACAGTGTTAAAACTATTTATTTTTACAATTCTTGAAGTTTTGCAAGAATATTTATTAACTGATAGAGTTGTAGCGCTAACGCTTGATAATGCAGCTGCTAACACCGCGACAATCTCTTTATTTGAATCAAAGGGCAAGGATAGAAATAGGCAAGTGGTTACAGATTAGAATAATTAGTATATAGAGAAGAGAGTGTGAGGTAGGTCTTTTTATCAAGGAATATATTCGTAGGACTGAGTGGGAAGCCCCCAACTCCTCGAACTGCTGAGAATCTGTTTATGAATGAATTTGCTTCTGTCAAGGGAAAACCCGAGACTAATTAATACTATCTTCATTTTCTTCATATTGTGCATATTCTCTGTTTTGGTGTTGCGTTGCGACTATGGTTGATTTGTTTTACAGGGGAGTTCCATCACATTTGAACAAAGAAATTGATCAAAACTAGTGATCATGTACAAAAAAAATGCAACTTTCCCTATGTTACACCAGTACTTTGGATTGGGAGACCATTTTAAGGATTACAAGAAAAACTCACATCTTATCAACTTATTCTTTTCCAATTATCGGAGTTCCCAGCCAAACCATTTAAACAAAGAAGTCAGTTTCAATAGACTTTCTAATTCAAATCATGCCATGAACGAGGGCTACTCATAATATTTTCAAACAAAACAAAGAGTTCATCACACTAACCATATGTGAACATTGATAACTGGAACTCCAACCAATTTCTCCAATCTTTTGAAGTATAGCATCTCTTTCCAATTTTCAGGCAAAAGAAGCTTTATGATGTCAACTGAATAAAACAAGATCTATAATCCAAATTAGTGAAACTAAATTTTATATATAAGTAAAACTATAGTTAATAGAAAATATATAGTAAACTTGGAGTGGCAAATACATAAACATCTCCCTCAATAACTTTCCCGTTAGTTAGTAAGAAACTCTTCACAGTTCCATTACTATCAAGCTCAATTTTTTGTATCTGAGAACTTAGTCGGACTTCACCACCTAGTGACTGAATGTGATTAACAATTGGCACGCAAAGTCTCTCTGGGGGACTACAATCTAAGAATGCCATCTTGGAACCATGCTGCTCCTGTTAAACATAATAAAAGTATATTCTGAATCAGCCATTCTCTACAGAAGTTCGTTTATGTATATTAAGTATAAATAATTGAAAACGTATATCCAATAGTATATCAACAACAATGCTTATTCAGATTATACCTATTTTCATATACACAAATATGACCAAAACACACATAATATTCACAACAATATGTTAGTTGTTATCATGAGAAAACTAAACTAGGTCCCGATTTGACTTGATCAGGTAGTTAAAAAAAGTAAAAAAAAGTAATTCACTTAATTTGATAAAAGACCCATAGATCATTCACCCTATGTCAATCTAAAATAGAATCAAAAGGAGAATGAAAGCATTCTTTAAATAAAAAAGGAAATATTGATTTATATTCTAATTGATATCCGTCTTGTAAAATGGAAAGTAATTATTATGTAGATAGATCTTCAAAGAAGTTGAAGGTAGCAAATGAGGTACATTGTTGTGCATGTGTTTATGAAAGATTTGTCATTTCCTTTACAAAAGTTAGAAAATGATTTGCATTTTATGAAACATTTTTCTAAAATTTCTTAGTGAACACATTGTCTCCATGTTCTATACTTTGAAAATGAGAAATCATTTCCGCCAAATACCCCAAAACCTTTCAAACACAAAGAGAGCAGCAAAAAATGTTTGAGAGTAAATTTGGTCATGGTAAACAAAATAGAAGTGATATGTTACTTGATATGTTCAGTTTTACATCTATACACTAATCCAACATTAGATCGCCAGCCAGACTTCACCAAAGATCATTTAAATTATTTTGATATTGATGTCAATATAAAGTTTCTAGAGGACAATCAAGAGATTAAAAAAAATTATGGAAAAAANAAAGACCTCTTCTTCACATAAAACCATTCGTTCAGAGTCGACAACTGCAGCCCCTCCCCAATGCTCTTATTCCTACTTGCGGATTCTCTCCATCTAGGAAAGAAAGCCTTAATTAAGGCCCTTTCTTTCGGGCGATGATTCGATTCTTCTTAGCTTGGCCATTCGATTAAGGTTCTTTCGATCGAGAAAGAGAAAGAGAACTCTTATTCATCCGGAAGTGACTGAACTAGCCTTTTTAAAAAAGCGCTGTCGCACCTTCACTCTTTGTATTTGTCGGCCTTACTAGCGCTACTGCTAATGTCGGCGTAAGGACTGTTTATCGGAGACTTCTATCTTTTTGGGATAGAGCGGAGGCTGTGCTAAAGGGTCGTAAAGGGGGGGATTCGCATCTTTCTTCAAGTAAGGGCACTCAATGAGTTCAACTCTTGCATATCGACGCTTTCCCTTATCCGTGATTAAGTTGAAAATGTTCATAGTCTAACTACTGATCCATTGTGTGTCACGCCATATGCCTTCTCCGCTGGACTGTAAGCGAAAGACATTGGATGCTCGGCATTGACAATATTTCATAATATGATCTCGTATCTATCTGAATGATGAACTTCTCTATTCCTAGCCCCCCTCTTTGGAAAAGAAAAAGAAAAAAACAACCTCTCTTCCTTCCTTTCAGGGTTCTATTGAAAGCAAGAAAAGGAATGTCTTAGCGTGCCCTTACTCTTATTTTAAAGAAAGCTCTTGCGCACCTGAAACAAATCTCCATACCATATTGGTTTTGTCCTCTTTTGTTCATTTTTACAATTTAAAAACCAAAATTCATAAACCAACGTGATTTTTTGCGTTTGCGAATAAGTGAAAATGGAAGGGTCAATAGCATTCATAAATAAATGGAGCCCCTTAGATTCGCACTCATCGCTGCCAAAATTTTGACCAAGACATTTCTTCTCATTTGATGTCCATAATTGACAGGGGTGTAATTGAGTCGAGCCAAACCAAGATTGGGTGGCTCGAGCTCGGCTTGGATGCTACAATGTCGAGCTCATGCTCGATCGAGCTTCAAATATTGAGCTCAAGCTCAAGCTCGATAGAGAAAAGGTGAGCCCGAGTCGAGCTCAAGCTTGAGCTTATCTTACAAAGTTAAAAATTATGACAACAACTGGATACCTAAAAGACACAAAGACACAAAAGACTAAACTTTACAAAGTTAATGAATGATCCCAGTTCTTTAGCATGCTTAGCTTGGCATCAAAGAGCGCAAAAGAGGAAGACAGAGATGGTACCAGTGAGAAGAAAGGAATGAGATAGAGAGGTTGTTCGCATCGATTCAGACGAGAGGAGAATAGACGAAACGAGCTAAGAATCTCTTGAATTGTTGGGGGAGTACCTAAGTCAGAGTTGATGGAGTCCCTCAGTCGGCTGATTCGATGTGGTCACGGGTGAATCTGAGATTGGTGGTTGCGGTCGGGAGAGAGTAAGCAAATTTGGGATTTTAGGGTTTTTGAATTCTGAAATTAAAATTGGATTTGATTTTTTTTTTTTTTTTTTTTTTTTTTGGGCAAGTAAGCTTTTATAGAAAGGGGAAAGAATGTACAAAAGGCCTAAAAGTTGGCCAACCTACCTCAGGACAAGCCCTGGGTTAGGACCAAAGGAATGATACTATATAAGTCTACCCCTAAGCTTCTCTTTTTCCTATTCCTCTTGTCAAAGGAATGGAACCAAGCGGAGATTAAGGAATAGAATAAATCCCACCTATCATAGGACATGCCCAGGGTTAGGTTCAAAAGTATCATAATACAAAACCCATATGCATAAGCATTAACAAGAAGATAAAGCGCTAGATCAACACCCCAGGTCTTCCAATTGCCAAAGTAGCCTCTTCTAGCACAATCACCCACCGGAATGTCATATAACCAAATCCCCTTACACAACAGAAAACTCATCACATAACAACTGACCATATAATTAGCTTCCATGGGATGTTTTAAAAATGGACATAGGGAGACCCCATTTCTCGGCAAGTCTTTTATTGTAGGTATTCTTTATGGTCTTGCTAAGGTCCATAGCTCTCTCCCTAACCACATTCTTGATGGAGTTGTAGATGGTATGTGCATCCTTGCATTCCCCACCAAAAATCCTGCTATTCCTCTCTCTCCAAATAGAGTAAACAGTGGCTCCCAAACTTAGCTTTCCTGTAGAGTACTTTAGCTTATTCTTTCTCCACCAACTAGCTATATGCTCAACATAATCGTTCCAAGGCTAGTAAGAACTTGAATCTTACTCAAGAATGGCGAATGGTGACCAAGAGGAAGGAGAATGTGTCAAAGGACATGGTTGTGCAAGCGGAGAATGTGGGCGAGAGCTCTAGCCGCAAAAAAGAGCAGCCCATTAATGAGTCGAGAGACACGGTTAGTAAAACAAAACCCTCCACTAATCCATTTGTGGTTCTTAGTTCAGGAAATAGGCTGGATAATGGGGAACTTGATGGCGAAGAGGGTAGTGAAAATGTTGAAGATAGGTTTCGGAAAGATAAGGATGCAATGAGTGGGGTAAATGTCCCTAGCGGGGCTGATCTTAACAGGGTTTATAATCGAGGTGCATGTGATGATAGGGATAAGTGTGTTAAGGGGAATGAATATGGGGTGAGTGTTCCTAACATAGAAGAGAGGAGATTGGAAGTAAGCAAAAGGTTGAATGCTTTTGTTTTAGGGGTGACCATAAGGATTCTTTCACCATAATTGATGCTATCAAAAGTGTTGTGAGAGATAAAGCTTTGGACCTTAGGAATGTCACAGCATCCTATAGCAATAGGAAGTTGGCGAATGATTGGGGCCTCCCTAGATCTATTTTCAAAGACGTTCCTCAAGTTCTCAACACCGTTTGAAGATTGGATTACAGAGGGTTACGCAGAAGGGTTTTTGCTTGGTTGTTTTGTCTCATTGGTAAAGAGTTTGATTTTGTGTTTTTCTTTTAATGATCCTAACCTAGGGAGGTGTCCTATGGTAGGTGGGATTTTTGGTGTTCTCTTTTCTTTCTTCTTGGTGTTTATCTCCCTTTGTGGTTTTTGATAAACCCCTAGAGCGGATGGCTGTTTGTAGGCTTGTTTCTTTTGTTTCCTATTTTCGGGGCATGTCCCAAAATAGGCTGGTCGCCTTTTATTAGGCCTTTGTACATTGTTCTGTTTTCTTTAATGGGATTACTTACTTATCAAAAAAAAAAAAAAAGTAACCCCACCTAGGGGTCCCTTGGTGGAAAACCATGAGGGATGTGAAATGGGGTCTACTTCACAGCTATGTGAGGTTCAGAAATTTGATGAGTAGATGAAAAGGAAGGTCTTACGGAGGGGGACAGAGGTCTTTCTAAAAGCCAAAGGAGGAGATTAGCCAGAAAGGCGAGAGAAGTTCCTAACGCCCGGCCGTCCCATGATTAAGCTTGCTTCGTGGAAGTAAGGGGTCTTAATTCCCTTTGAAACAAAAAGAGGTTAGACATCTAATCCTTCAATAAAATTGCAATTTGTGGTATGTTGGAAACTAGAGTTCATGAACCAAATTTGAGGTTACTAAGTCCTTGACTTTTGGGGGATGGGATGTAATCCATAACTATGTGTGCTGCCCTAATGGTAGAATTTGGGCTGCTTGGAATCCTAGTTTGGGAGGTTTGAAATCATACAATCTACGAATCAAGCCATCCATGGTAAGGTTGTTATTTTGGAGTCTAATTACTCCTTTGTTTGATATTGTCTATGGCTCTAATGGTCCGTAGAAAGGAAAGAATATGGAGGGACTTAATGGGTAAAGCTCAAGATTTTGAGGAATACCATGGGTGATTGCCATTTATGGGTGATTTTAATGCGATGAGATTTGGGCATAAGAAAATGGGGGGTTCTTATAGGTGGAGAAATTACGTTTCAGACTTGAATAATATGTGTAATGAGACTAGGCTTGAGGTCCTTCGGTTTATGGGTAAATTTTTCACTTGGAGTAATATGAGAGAAGGGGAACATAGCATTATCACTAAGATTGATCGAGCTCTTGTGAATGAAAAGTGGGGCAGTGTGTTCAGTAATTCCATAGCCAATTTCCTTCCCCCAAGCATCTCGGATCATTCTCCTTGTATTGTTGAATATGGGGTTA